CTTTCCGTAATATTTTTGGACCTTTCACTTGTCTTCTCTTCTCCTCCCCTTCTCCTTGCCTCCTGATAAAAAATAAATCTGAAATGCTAAACTACATTTTAACTGTCTCAATTAGGAATTTCTATCAAACCTCATGAAATGCCATCACCATGGCTAGAAACTACACAATATAATTGTGCTGAAAACTGGATATCCCAATTTTGGTCCAGTCAGTGAACCATAGAAACCATAATTTCTGCTCAAGAAGTTCAATACTATTGACTCAAAATAGCTGGTAATGGTGCCATTATCAGTATATGTAGTGCTGCATTTTGCATTTAATTTAGTAGAGTGTTATATTTTGGAAAAGAGGAATGCTGAATAAAAACCAGATTGGTAATGCAAATATTTATCACTTAGTGGTTTTGAAAAGATAGTTGAAAATAACTTGTTCGTATCATGAGATTAGCATTTTCAGACATTTACTGTGGTCCCCATTATGGTTCTGAACTGTGTCTCATGAACATTATTTTGTAGAAATATATTTTCAGAATGTCATTTCTTAAAAAATGCAGTGAACTACTTTTACAAAGTTTGCCTGATTAAAAATGTTTTTTATTCCATTTAGGTTGTGCTTTCCTTATTAAATTGGGTTTTTTTTCTCCTTTAGATTTATTAATGCTTCCAAGAATGTTTCTTATTGAGCCTATGACTTTTGGATGGGACTATGAAATTGGTGTAAAACTGTATTATAAGGCTGTTGATAAAGAATGAGAGGAGAACATTTGCAAAAGCATTGTTTAATTCAGCTGATAAAGTAAATAAGACCATGGAGTGGGGTTTTGATTAGGCTTACCAAATGCCTCTAAATATTGTTCTCTTATATGGCATGGTATTTGAGAGTCTCATGTATTTATAAGTTTATCAAATATGTTTTACAGTTTTTTCAAATAATATATATATATAAATTATAATAATCTGATTCCTATCAAACTGAGTGGAAGCCTAGCCACGAGTACTGTTCATTATCAGAAGCCCATCAGGAAAGGAACAAAACATAGTGAATAAGTTTTGCATATTTAAACTATTGCATATAAGAGTAGCAGCTAAGAGCAAGGAGGTTGGAGTCATATAGATCTGAATTAATCCAACTCAGAGTCCAAAGAGTAGGACTTTTTAATATTCTCTCTCTCTCTAACTGGATTTCATATATGGGATATCATTTTGTAATTCTGTTTGGGAGCAGGGTTAGGAGGTAATGTAAAAGAAAAACTTAAAACAGAAATTTGTGTGAGTTTCTGTAGAAATCAGATCTTTAAATAAAATGGAAAGTTATATTAAGTAAGTGTGAATCCCCTTGGTAAATGTGGAATGAAGAGAGTAGTGTTGAGTAGGATTTGGCCATTTTAGTTAATTTTTGGTTACCTTGGGCAAATACTCATTGAATTAAATTACTTTGTGAGAATTTCCCTTAAGATGAGAAAAACTGGCTTTACTTTGGACTGCTGACCTGCTATACTGAGTACTTGAGATCTAATCAGAAAAGATGATTTTAGTGAACTCATTTGTGGCTTGGGGTATAAACTGCAGAAGCTGTTCTTAGACTGGATATTTTTTTACTGTTTGCCCCAGTGTTTGGCTTCACAGTTTCCAAAGTAGGGCCTTGGGCTGCCACCAGAGTGGCATGGAGTTTCCTTGAGGAGAGGTCAAATAGCAACATGTGTAATTGATAACGCTTCATCGAAGATACAACCGTTTCTGTGTCTTGATGGTTAGTGACTAAAGCTGATCTAATCAAGCCTCTGTAGTGTCTATTAACAGCGCACAATTAGGTATTCTGTCTGGCTTTGGCTTTCACATTTTGCTGCTGGAAAGCTTGGAGAGGAAAGCATCTCTTTCTTCTGGATCTCAAGGATATGAAAAATGATGATGGCCATGGAATGTTGGTTATGTCTTTAGAATAATTTAAAGTGATCACAATTAACAATTTGAGGAGATGGCAAAAAGTGTTTTTTACACTAATGGTCTTCAGAAGACAAATAGGAAGTATCTTCCTATATATTACTCTTTAAAAAAAATTTCTGAAAATAATTAAAATAATAATAGCTATCATATTTTCACTTAAAAAAATGTGCCAGGTGCTTTACTACTGTATCTCATTTATTCTTCACATCATCATAGCAGTATGGATTCCTTCAATGTCAACACATTACAGAAGGACATGCTGTTTTTACCTTTCTGAACCTAACTCTCTTCTTTCTACAAAGAAAGTATTAAGCAGGGTAGGAGATTTTAACCAGGTCTGTATAATTCCAGCATCCTTGCTCTTACTGCTATTTTTACATGCTTAAATATGAAATCAATTCCTTTACTGATGAGTTTCTGGTAATTAGCTTGTCTTCTGTTCAGCTTGATGGGAACCAGTTTACTAGTAGAAGACAGAAGATATTAGGATGGTTCATATCTAGGGCAGAATGCATTGTCAGAGCATATAAATTTCTAAGGAGGAACTGTGTTTGCTTCTGAGAGAAGGTAAGCCCCAGCAAATATAGGAGAAAGGAAAACCAATCAGTGAAGATGGTGAATGAGCTTTAATGAGGTACATCAGCTGGGTGACTGTCTGACCCAGTGCCTTTGTATTGTAAAATTCTCCTGTAGCTTACTCTTAATGATAAAACTTTCTGTTTGAACCTTTACCTATTTGCCTATAAGTCGCAATAATGATGACAGTAATAACTAAAATTGCTAACACTTTTGGAACCATGGGGGGTGGCAGATACCAACAGATGTTCTTTATTTTTTTTTAAACTGTCTCTGAAATGATCCCTTTGATTCTATATAAAGTAATAGACTATCTGACTGAGGCAATAGTCTTTAATCGTATATGAGTTTTCTGACTCTGGGATAAAAAAGTCATATGTATCTTCTCATTTAATTTTCAAAACAACCCTCATCATCCTTTCACAGTTGAATAAACTGAGTCTCAGAGACATGAAGCAGTTTGCCTAATGTCACACAGCTGGTTGAGGGATGAAGGCTGGATTGAAACCTGGGTCTGTGGATTCTAAACTTGGTGTGCTGAACCAGAAAACCATCCTAACCTTATAGGAGTAGGTTGCCTGATTCGGTTCTCTGATTTTAAGCAAAGATGACTTGCAAACAGAGGGTATCAGCTGTGGCTGACAGATATGTACTGTTTAGTTTATTAAACCTATCAGATTTGTAGGCTGTCTTTTGGGGAGGGTTTGAGAGGGGAGCTCCCCTGTTTGCTAGAGGCCCTTGTATCTCTGGGCTATTTTACACCACCTTCCTGCAAGGCACATAAAGATATTGCATTTGTAAGGTCTAAAAAGTCAAGATTAGACAGTTCTCTCTTTCCTTGAGTGTTCTGAGACAGTGGTCCCCAACCTTTTTGGCATTAGATTCTGAAAAGGAACATGCAACCTAGATCCCTTGCACGCGCAGTTTACGGTGGGTTTTGCACTTTCATGAAAATCTAATGGTGCCGCTGGCTGATGTGACAGGAGGTGGAGCTCAGCAGTAATGTAGAAGACAGTGAGCAGCTGGCAGTGCAGAGGTAACCTCCCTGCCCACTGCCCACCTGCTGTGCAGTGGGTTCCAGCAGTACTGTCCCCAGGCTATTGGGATTGGTGACTGCAATGCTGAGAAGCAAAGATTCCCACAACCACTTAACTCCCAGAATGTTTTGTTATCTTGCCAATATTTTAAAATATTGCTTGCTTCTAGTTTTAATCCATTTCCTCCTCCCTTGACCAACCCTATCAATATATAGAAAAAGTACTCAGAAAACTGTGGTTTTGAAGAATACAGTTATTAAATACAACTTTAGTGCCCTGTCTTTCAACCTTTTCCCCAGTGTCTGACACGTAGTTAGCTCCTCTCGCTGACAGACTGGTGCCTCTGCTACATGGTAGTGTCACTACAGAGCAAAATTAATACATCCATCCAGTATTTATTAGCATCTTCTGGAATACTTACAAGAGTAAGGAGATGGTTGAGTATTAGCTGATTAAACAGGTAGGAAGCGTTTGAATGTGCTGGGTAAACAAGCTTTGGTTTAGGCATGTCGATATTTTTTGAAGTTCTTTTTTTTTAAATTTCAGATTAATATGAAGGTACAAGTGATTAGGTTGTATTGTTAACATTTGTTAGGTAAAGTTCAAGTTGTAATTGAACCCGTCTCCCAGAGGGCTGTACTGTATACCCTTACATTGTGCCTGTTAGGTAAGAATTTACCAATACCCCCTCCTCTCTTTTCCCTCCTCTCTGTCCTCGCCCTCCTCTCCCTTTCCCCCACCCCCAGTTGAATTGAATTGTGTTTTTTTTCTCATGTGGGCCTGTAGTTGTGTAGTTTTCCATTTTTGTGATACTTTACTAAGAAGAATGTTCTTCAGCTCCATCCAGGTAAATACAAAAGATGTAAAGTCTCCATCTTTTGTCCCATAGTTTATTAATCCATTCATGGGTTGATGAACACTTGGGTTGATTCCACATCTTAACGATTATAAATTGAACTGTGATAAACATTGTAGTACAAATGTCTTTATGGTAAAACAATTTTTTTTTTCTTCTGGGTAGATACTTAGTAATGGGATTGTGGGATCAAATTGAAGCTTTAATTTTAGCTGTTTGAGGAGTCTCCATACTTGTTTCCATATTTCAGACCAGCAATGTAAGAATGTTCCCTTCTCTCCACATGCGCGCACACCAGCATCTGCAGCTTAGGGACTTGGCTTCGTGATGTGGGCTATTCTCCCTGGGGTTAAGCCGAGTCTCACAGTGTTTTTAATTTGCCTTTTTCTGATGACTAGGGGTGATGAGCATTTTTTCATGTGTTTTTCAACCATTCCTCTGTCTTCTTTTTGAAATTCTTTTTTGCTTTTATTTTCAAAGTTAGTTTACCTGTCAATTGTCATTATTGTTTTCCTTAATGCAAAAGAAAAAGAGAAAAAGAAAGGAATTTAAAATTAACTACCAACTCTGGATATTTCTTTTTTCAGATGCAAAAGAAATCGTTTTAAAAGCCCAGATCTTAGCTGGAGGAAGAGGAAAAGGTGTCTTCAATAGTGGTTTGAAAGGAGGTGTTCATTTAACAAAAGAGTAAGTCTGGGGATTTTAATTCCTTGGCTTTGGGCCGAGAAGTTAGGAAGATCTTGCTTATGATTGAAGGGCACATAGAGCAGTGTGGTTGTATTAGGGCAGGAACAGACCATAATAGCTAGAGGAAGCTGAAATTACAGGTAGAGGGCGCTGGCGATGAGCTTCCTTTCGCTCCCACAGAAGGATTTTTCTTCACTAATTGGTAGAAACTCGACAGTCCTTCTATCCTAGCCAATCAATGATTCATCATAAATGTTAGAAATGATAACACTTGCAAGTAAAATGCTACTTCTGTAATGTCACTTCCCTATTCAAGAGCCTACAGCGGTTCCCCGCTCTCAGTGTTACCAGTTGTACCTCCCGTCTGATAGAACAAGCCTTCCTTTGTCTGAGCCAGTTACTGGAGGAAGATGGTCCGGCCGCCCATCACTGTCAGCCAGTATGCACATACAGGGATAGGTCCACCAAGCTTTATTTGTTGAAAGGCTTGGATTCTGGAGAACAGTGAGGGTAGCCTCTCCAAGACTGTTCTGTTCCTCCATTTCCAAAAAATCACAGTTTTATACATGAAAGTCCTGAGTAAATCTTTAAGATTGACATGATTTTTACTTTGAACTTTCATGTATGAAAATGAGGCAGAACAACAGCCCAAAAAGTTAATCTCCTAAATCAGTCCTCTTAAACTACCCAAAATAGGCATCTTTAAGGTGGGAGGGAGCCAAATTTCCAGGGTCAAGGTCACTAAGGACCTAACTGACCGTACCAGCTGTGTCAGGTTGGCCCTAGCCTGACTGACGCCATGTTGTTTTCTCCACGTGCACTCTCCAGCCTGTCTTTTCAACTTCACCTCTCACATTTCCCAGGCACTGAACACTTTCCTTCCTGTTCCTGTCACATAGCCTATCTTTACTTACTTTATCCTTTCCCTCTTCCTCATCCCTCCCATTGTTCAATACTTCCCAAGTGGTCCACTCTCAAGTCTCTCTTCAACTCATATCTAGCTCTTGTTTTCATTTCACCATTATCTCTTTACTATGACTAAAACTTACTTGGGGATACAGGGTCACAAAGGTCAGCAAGCACCCTTTGTTCCTTCATTCATTTTCTTTTGCTCTTGCTGAGCCTCTAGCCCAGTGTGAGGCACACATGAGCAGTAAGACGCCGGGGTTCCTGGGGGTTGAGGAGAACCTTAGGTAATGCTCTCATGAGGATACATGACTCTGCTTTAAAATGATTTTCAACAGACACTGATTTTCTGTGCTTTTCTTCTCTCTCTTCTAGTCCCAAAGTCGTGGGACAGCTGGCCAAACAGATGATTGGATATAATCTAGCCACAAAGCAAACTCCAAAAGAAGGTGTGAAAGTTAACAAGGTAATGTGGATGCTTTTGGTCATTTTCTATGTATGTGTTAAAAAAAAAAAAAAAAAAAGCAAACTGTC